TTTTCGTAGTTTGATAGAGAAACGTGATGTGTTTTTGCACTCTCTCCCTAAGAGTGATAGTACACCTAGATACATCAAATGGTACCATAACATAGAAAGCATACACAACCACTTAACAAGTTTCACTTCAAATACTTGCTTCTAAGCTGCGAATCTAGCTACCCACGGCACATACTACGCCGCCGTCACCGCCGCCATTTTCCCTCTACCACCGAATTTCGATCTCAACAGCGGAACAGAACACACAACACTCAGCGCAGCAGCCGCGACGAAAAGCGCCCACACACTTTTCATAGCTTCGGCAATCTCCGTCACAACCAATGCCTGCTCTCCCTCATCCAGCGCCCGAACAGCTCTACTACTCGATCCCGCAATCAAGTTCCTAATCTCCTTGGGCTCTATGTCACGTATTACCTTCCCCACCTTCTCAACAGCCACATTATGAAACAGGCTCCCGCTCATAGCGAGAAAGATCACCCTACCCAGACTCTGCGATATAGTCATCGCACCAACAGCATTGGGTATATCGTAAACGGGGACTAGAGACTGCATAATAGCAAAACCAGCGACGATGTAGCACCCCGCACCCGTTCCGACGAGGATGTTGTACCCGTAGATTGCGGCATTGGGCGTGGTGACGTCGACGGTGTACATGAGTGCTGAACCGATGAGTGCGAGTGTGCTGCCGCCGATATACCAAAGGGGGATCAGGCCGTATCGAGGCATTAGGAAGGCGTTGATCACTGATGTGACGACTATGAAGAGAAGTAGGGGGAGGAGGCGGATTCCTGCGACGAGTGCGGTGTCGCCTTTAACAAATTGAAAATACAGCGGAATGTGGTAAGTCATCGCTAGAATGATTCCTGACGAGAGGAAGACTTGGAGTTGCATGTTTATCAGTATGGCCCTCTTGAGGAAATGTAGTGGGTATAGCCGGTTCGACTTGGTGACTAACGGGTGCAGCTTCAGCATGACGATGAAGGCAATGAGGAGGATGCCTGTGATGGTCCATAGCGCGATCACAGTCCCGGAGCCAAAAGGGTATATGACGCCACCAAAAGTGAGTACGATGGTCAGGCAGACGGAGCCAGTGAGAAAGATGGCCGCGTTGATCCAGTCGACGAGGTGGAGCTTTTCGGCGAGAGTCTTGGACGGATAAGGATCGAGACTGGGGAAGAGGAAAAAGTAAACAGGAGCAAAGACAATGCCGATGGGAAGGTTGAGGTAAAATCCCCATCGCCAGGTAGCCGGGTTCGCAGCAATGAGCCCGCCAATCACTGGACCCAGCACACTGCCCACCCCCCAAACAACCGTACTCCCAGCAAGGTACGCCGCCTTCTCCTGCTCATTCGACAGAACTGACACATACGTTATAGTGCCCGAGTATATACCCGAGCCCCCAATGCCTGCAATAACTCGTCCAATAACCAAAATCTGTATATTCGGAGCAGCACCACAAATAGCACTGCCTGCTTCGAACAAAAAGATATTGAAGATGTACACCCACTTCATATTAAAGACGCCGTAGATTTTGCCCCAGAGCAGGATGAACATGGTACCGAGGGCGAAACCGGTGCCGATCCAGACTAGTAGCTCCGGGTGGCCGAAGTCGTTGATGATGACCGGTTGGAGAATGGCGATGATGGTGTTGTCGAGGGCGAAGAGGAGGGTGGTAGATAGCATGGCCGCGTATGTAATGACCCACTTCCAGCCATGGATGTTGCGAGGACTAGAGTTCTCAGCTGTCGTAGCGATATCGCTGCAGCTAAGACGCTCACCCGGTGGAGTCGAAGTGTTCGAATTCGCCGCATATGCATGCATCTCAAGATTTGATCCGTTCTGGCTCGGCGCTGTAGCCTTGTAGCCAATGTTTGACGCATTCAGCGACTTTTGATAGGTAGACATTGTGTTCGCGGGCGTGGATTTGGTTGTCGGTTGATCTTGGGACGACTTTTCTTAAGCACTGGGCGAAATTGTAGAAATTAGAGCGGATGTGTATGAAGTTCCGGCAAGAATACAATTCCATTGGGGAACGGAGTGGTGACTGAGAGCAGACACGGACACAGGATCCAAGTGCCCCACTTTTATTTGCGACGCGGTTGCGGTGCAACGGCGGTAGGTGGAAGAAACATTTGATTTGGGGAGTGAGTGATTGTTAATGGGGACCGCTAGTATCGATAAGATCTTGGTACTTTTGCCGCTCAAGGTTGTTGATGTACCTTACCCAGGACGCACTTCCCAGCCGGTATATTAGCTAGAAATACCTTGCCAATATACGTATCACAGTGAAGGTAATTAGAAATATAGAAAAGACATAGAAGAAAACGAAGACCATCCTTCTAGGCCCTAGGTCAATACAATATACATGAGGCGATAGAGATTGCGATCCTCTTTGACAGAAAAAGAAACAGATTGTCGTAATTGCAAGGACCTGAGTAAGATAACAT